GAATCCTATTTAATAACGTATTAGAGAAGTGTTTTCTCTTCAATCAGATTGAGTTTATATTATTAGGGTTAAGCTTGTTTGCATTGCAGTTAGTTGTTCATTCTATCAGCTAAGGTGCTCTTTAGGATACCATAGGTCTTTGCAGCATATGAAATGCTTAAGTTATTACCTGCAGCGCGTGTCGATCGGATTGCTTCAATCGCGAGAATGACTTTGTCTTCTTGGGTGTAGATTGGCATTATGGTTGTTGAGATTTTACGCGTCAAAGGTTTAAGTGATTTGGACGTAAGAGTGTTTAGAAAAAAACGTCCGGCTGACTGGTCCGGCCGGCTGACTGATGAACCACGTTACTAAATTATAAAGTTATTTTTAAATAGTTATTAGAATCTTAATTTTATAGTTAGCAATTATTATTAAATAATTAATAATTTATTTACTTATATCTCTTAGGTTGAAAAAAACTTTTAATTTTTAAACTAATTAAGTTAATATTTATTTATTAACTATCATCATGATATAATAGTAACTACTTAATAACTATTTAATAATTTATAACTTCTGTTTATATTTCTAATAAAATAATTTATCTTTATTTAGTAATTATAGTTTATTCTCTTTTAACTTTATTAGAAAGAGTTTATTTTAGTTAAACTTTCTTAATTCTTATCTTTTTGTTATTCACTTTATAGCTAAAATAGCTATATGTAAAGTAACTAATTAAAAACTAAATCTAAAAACGCTAGTATATAATAATATATTTAAGGTAATTAAAGCTATTAACTTTTAGGTATAATAGACTGATCTTAAAAATAGGTTTACAAGTTGTAAAATTACTTCTCTATTAAATAAAGAAAGAGATAAAAAGAAGGTATAATCAAGATAACGTTTTTAAAAATAATAGAACTATTCTTATTAGTAATCTAAATTTCTTTGATAGTATTAAAGAATTTATATATCATATTTATGATATTTTCAATATATTAAAAAGGTTGAATATAAATTATTTACTATAGTTTCAATATAAAAGTTTAATTAGAATTTGAAATGTTTTAATTAAGCTAAAGCTAACTTTATAAAGAGTAAATTTATTATAAACATTTATAATTTATAATAACTGCTTATAAGAATTTAAAAGTTTAAAAAAATGAAAAATATAAATAAGCTTTTTAAAGTATTAAAGCTCTATTAAATAAGAAGAAGTTTATTATAAAAAAGCAAACTTAAATACTTCAGTGTAAAAATATAAAACTATAAGATTTCTATATCTTATATAACACTAAGTATTTTTAGAACTTCTATAGATATAAAGTATATAACTATTATTACTAAAAAGTAGCCCTATAGTTTAAGCAGTATAATAAGCACTCCTTTAAGTTTTATAAAGTTCTTATTTAAATATATAATGAATTCTATTATAGCCTCTAGCTAGCTACTATAATTTTTATCTAGAACTTATACCATAATAACCTCTAGCTTCCCCCTTTAGCTAACAGCTTACTGGGTATATGATCACAGTCTTATAGATCACTATCTCTAGCTTTAGCTTTATTTTCCCCACGCGCGCTATCTATTAGACAATCTCATCACTTTTAACGTCACTTTAATAACAACTTCACAACTTTAACTAGACTTAATTACTATAGAAACAGACTTTTTATGACTTTTCGATCTATCTTCTGACTTTTTGTAAAAGCGTGTATAATAGAGGTAATTATTAAGAGTAGGGGTAGTATTTAATACAATAAAAGGGGGAAACTTTTCGTTTTGTTGATTATTATAACAGAATTCCTCGTATTCAATAATGATCATTTATAACCAGTATAAATAGTTATTACTAATATAAAAGAAATAATACTAATAATAATAGTGAATAGTAGGTAGTAATAATGAGTAGTAGTTAAATGGATAAAACTGTTGAATTGCTTGCTTCCTCAAAATCTGCTCTAAGTGGAAAAATCCATCGTACATATAATACATTTTTTCCTCGCAAACCTTTACTTAGTTTAGTAATTACTTAATTAAGTAATTACTATAATAGGTAATTAACTGTAAAAACCTTATTATAAAGTTAATTATTACGGCTTTATTTTATCCGATTCGGGTATTCTAGATCCGTAGTATTATTGTAGTTATAGTTTATTAGTTTGTTACGGATTATTAGTTTCCGTTGTTTTGGTTTCAAATCTTAACTTAATATTAACTTTAGTCAATAATAACTGTATTATTAACTTTTAGGGAATTGTTATTCCGTTGATATATACTTTTTATGGTAACTAACCTAATATATAGTTTTTATTCGTTTTGGCTAATCGTAGGAATTACTGTAATAGGTAATTTATACGAGTGTGGTTTTTGTTTTAATTAGATAACGTTATGGTTACTTTATTCCTTTTAGTTATATTAATATGTGATTAATAGTTATAAGGATAATTGTTTAATTATTAGGTGTAGTTTTACTAGTTACACTAGTGTTAGTAATCTTAGCTTTACATCTTTTTTATAGCGCTAGTAATATTTAGTTTTACTTAAATTCTCCTTTTAGGGGGTACTTGGTAGTTTTTAAAATATTTTAATTAATAGTAAATATATAAAGTTAGTATTAAAAATAAATAAGGTTTTTATATACTTTATAGAGTAGCTTTTGTTTAAATAAGCTCTCTATAATACTAAAGTAGAATTAGCTTTCTAAGAATTAGTAAATACGCTTTATACTAAATAGAGAGAGTATTACTAATAATAGTATAGCTATGATAAAAGTGTTAGCTAGCTTAATTAAATAAGAAGACTAGTAGTAAATAGTGAAGCAGTAATAGAGACAGTATTAATAGTATAAGTAATATGTAAGAGAGAGGATAAGTTAATAATTTAGTAGTTAGTAAGTAAGTAATTATAAATTATATTATTACTAAAGTGAAATTAAAGATTATGAAGTTATAAATACATATATATATATAAATGTAGCTAAAATTAAGAGAGGTAGTTAGAGACTTATAAGGTTATTAGGTTATAATTATATAACTAAAGGTTTTATATATTATTAAGAGGCGTACAGTTAGGAGGTCTATCGCTCTACGTAAGTAAAAACTACAGTAAATAGCTAGACGCTTAAGTTTCTATATTTAAAATATCTTTTTATTACAATTTAAAAAAAATTATAATTCAAGATCTTTATATTAAGTAGTTAGAAATATATAGAAATCTTAATAATATTATAAACTTTTAAAAAAACTAGTTTATAAACTTAAATAGTACTTTTAGAAAACTTTTTATAATTTATAATATATTATAACTGATAAGAATAATAAAAACTTAAACTTAATTAATTTAAAAGTTTTAGTTTTCTTTATTTTTAAAAAAGATATTTTTATTAATTAAAAGTATTATTATATATTTATGAGCTATCTCTTAATATTATAAATAATTTATTAATATATTAACTAGTATAAGAAATTACTAATTAATTAAATTAACTTAAATATATAATATAATATTTTTTAAAGATAAGTAAAACTCTATATAAAAGTTATATAAAGTTGATTATTCCTACTAAGTAGATTATCTATTTATTTTGGCTACTCTTAGTAGCCAAGAACCGCTATTTTAACTCCTATTATCTAATATACTTAGCTGTAGCATCCTTTTAATAAGCATACCCTGCGCTTCCACCTAATTACTGCCTCAGGCTAAAGGTTTTCAGTTCAGTGCAGCCCCACATCTCTAGCCAGCCTTGAGCGCCGTATACCTGTCAGCCGCACGGCTTGGACATCCTATTACCTCCGCGCCATTTGTCACCATTGCGAATTCTTACGCTGCCAATTCGCTCCGGTTTACTCGGGTCGCAGCTAACGCATCAACTTCCCCTCCTCCCGACCTAACGACGCGACCTCTACCGCCGACATGTCGACTCGCCAAGCGGCCTTGTGAGTCCCCTCAATGCTCAGACTCCTTGGGGAGTCATTGAGCTGACATGTTCATTCATAGGTCGCTCTATCGACGTTCCCTCAAGCTCGCTCTCGATTGGGCAGTCCACCGTCATCTTTGGAGGGGCCAGGCCCTGTACATCAGATCTCTCTTCGAAGCAAACCGCGGCGTGACGGATTCGCGGCAGAAAAGGGTGAGTTAGTCAAGGTGATCTGCCAGATGAATGTGGCAATGGTTGCGGCAGGTCGCCAGGAACAGAAGCTAATTCGCTGCGTAAAAGGAGCTTCTGTCCGAGACGGAAAAGCTACTGGCGAGATGGAAGCACCCAGAGCCGTACGTGCATCCCACGGCACCCGGCGGTTCGTCATCCCTCGACTACACGATTGTTCGTTGAAATGGTTGCTGATAGTGGTTCAACAGGATCGAAGTATGAGCGTAACCTCCGTGCTCCTATTTTGGACCGTAAGTTTCGAGCGTGTCTACTATTACCTCATTGCGGCATGCTGATAAGTCCTCTAGCCCCGCGCCAATTGAAGTTTTGAGCGATGGAAGCAGAAAAAGGAAGGCATTGATTCTCGGATTCGGCGACGGTATGGGCATGCATGTATCCCAATTCAGCACTATTTGCCAAATCATCAGAATTGTTCACGCAGAAACAACCCCGTCGTAATCCACATTCGAGGTTGGTAAGACATCGAATCCAGATTGCATGCCGTGATACCCCGGCGTGCGCAGACGTAGGGGTTCAGAGCCTAAGGCAGTTTCAATATCGCACGGCTGAGGACTACGCCGGAAGGCCTGGCTGCGGAAACACGAACAAATGTCCCGTGTCCAACCCGACCAGGCATGTGGCAACCATTCACTGTCCGCCATCATGACACACATGAAAACAAGCCAATAAATAGCAGAAAGTGATCTTCAAAAGGTATTCTCATTCGTAACCACAGCTACCGCTGCCGTGGTATTATTGTACAACCCAAACGTGAAAATCAACCATGAACCCTGAACCGTGACCCCGATGTCATGACAACCCAAAGCAGCCGACCAGCACGAAAGAAAACCAAACCCACGAATCCCATTTACAGTTCTTGGCTCTGGTTCTTGCCAGTCTTGCCAGTCTTCTTGGGCAGCAAGTCTATGAACGGTGTCAGAATAGAGATACAGAACATGCTCTATAGGAGCGAACTTACTCTGGTGGATGTTGGGCAAGACACCACCCTGGGCGATGGTGACGTGGCCCAAAAGCTTGTTCAACTCCTCATCGTTGCGGATGGCGAGCTGAAGGTGACGGGGAATGATACGGGTCTTCTTGTTGTCGCGGGCAGCGTTGCCAGCAAGCTCGAGAATCTCAGCGGCGAGGTACTCGAGGACAGCAGCGAGGTAGACGGGGGCACCGGCACCAACACGCTGAGCGTAGTTGCCCTTGCGGAGAAGACGGTGGACACGACCGACGGGGAAAGCGAGACCGGCCTTGGAGGAACGGCTGAGAGGAGATGTTAGAGACAGGTTGAATAGCGCGTACAAACGCGAAGAAATCGGTGCGCGGAGCGCGTCCTGGATTGGAATGCTTACGATTGCGCGTTCTTGGAACCGCTGGCCTTGCCGCCGGACTTGCCGCCTCCAGTCATGTTGATTAAGTTTGGTGTGGTGAAAGGGTGGGAAAATTTGAGGTTGCGAAGATTGACACTGGCGTGCGACTTGCGTGTTGGTTTGCTGGGGTTGGGGATGGAAATGTGAGATGATGAGAGAAAGATGTGAAGATGGTGGGGAGTGAAGTAAGTTAAGTAGTTTTCGCGTTGGAGGAGCTCAATCACGGATCACCAGCGCGCAATTTAGCGCTAAGCCGAAAGCAGAAATTCCATGTTGTGGTGCATCATTTTTTTTGGAGCTTGCAGGAGCATCCAAGGTGGAAGATACGTATCGGCCCCCCTAAAGCCGCCTGGGCCCTGCGTTCCGCTAGGGAATAAAACCCGGGGTCCTCTCCTGCTCCTCTCGACATTTCCACACCTTCTTAGATTATCGTTATCGTTGCTTGTATGTCCGGCTGTGGTTTTACTTCGTTGTACCTCCTAATTATTTTACTGGTCCATCCTCCTCGTTCCATTACTCACTATTCTTTCTTGATTCCACTTCCGTCTGTTATTGCCTATTTTCCGCATTTCACTCTGCTCTTCTGGGTTTGTTTTATTTTTCCTTTTCCCCTCACCGTCTGTCTCTGTGTCCCCATTGCCCTCACAAACAAACCAATCATGCGAGCACGCGAGGAAACCAATGTCGGGATCAATATGACAGCCTCAATCATTCAGGTCGGATTCGTCGTAAAACCACCCCGTACCCACCACTTTTGACTCAAGTGTCGATGCCAAATCACGGCCTCCAACCTTTGTTCCCGAATCCGTTCTGAGCTTTGGACGCACGTATGACATCGTGTTCTCCGCGTTTTTGTCCCTTGAATAAGCAGGCGAACTCACCCAGCTATGCTTATGAGGGGTGTGGTAAGATTCATTATGTGCTTCCATATGAAATCCATGGGGTACAAATTCCCCCGTCTTCTCTCGCAGCGTGAGCCACCTCTACCGTAAATACACGCGTGTTCTGGCCCAAGGCTGGAGAGAGACCCTTGAATGCGAGTGAGACGGCATGCTCCAACGCCCCAGTTGGCTGGATCCTCTGCAGCCTAATGTGTTGGTTTACTCTAACCCACGCATTTGGGCCCGTCCCGACAAACAGATTCAGATCCAGCGCCCTCTCTTGGTCCTTAGGAACAGCTTCCTTAGGGTCCGAATCCCTGCGTGGCATCCGTGATGTGTTAAATGACTTAGCCTTGTGGCAATGGAGAATGCTGGACTCGGAAGAGGGGGGAAAGAGGGGCTAAGAATCGAAACTGGAGGAATCCACCGATTTGGCTTCTGCGGTGGTTCGGACTCTGGCGTTTTTGCGACGGAGAAGACGCGTCGCGATCCAGATTTGTCTCCACGTATGGCTATTGTGCCTTGGCCGCCGAGGCTCCCTTTACTTAGGTACCTTACCTAATGCTGGATCGGGGGATTTAGTGTCACTCGAACAGACTGTCACTGGGTTCAGGTACCATCCACCCGCGTTGAGGGCAGTGACGCGTACCTACCTCATGGTGGAAACTTTAGCACGACATCGCGTTCGGCGGTAAATCCCATGCAGGAGCGGAAGCGGAAGAGACAGAATAATCCATTCTCTGCCTGTCGTGTGGCAGAATGCGCTCTACCCATGCAGGCATTAGGAGTGGGTAGCGACAGGATGTGTCTCTCGAGTCCTGAGATAGGCAAGCACGATTGATTACAGTTAACGCCTATTGCTCATGATTTATACTGATGATGCATCGTCACCCATCTCTCAACTTGTATGCACGTTGACACAGTAAACTACAAATTATTTCGATTCTAATTCGCAGCTTGTGCGTTTTTCTTGCCTCACGATGTGTTGCCGAGGAGTCTCCTTTGCGACAGATGGTGGATCTGCATTCTGGACCTGAAGTCGTTGTTCGGGAATGAGAGCATGCGCTTTGCTCCTGAAGTCCTGAGTTGAGCACTAACGCCAAACTCCATCCAGTCCCTTATCCTCAAGACGCATCGGCAGCAGGCGACAGCTTTCCCCCAGAAATTTCCTGATTGGGCAGTGCGCAGGTTGCGTTTCCCTTCTATTTTCCCATGCTTTTGCCTACCCGCCGTACTCTGGGGGATTTTTGGGTGTGTTTCCTGGGCTGTGATTGGTTCTGATCGGTAAAACCGCCGGGTGACACGCGAATCACGAAAGAAAAAAAAAACAGTTACCTGTCTGCACGTATTTTCTAGCGCGAACGCGTGTGTATCCTAGTCCGGCAGCCGCTGTCGCGGTCTCCACTCATAACCCAAGGCTGGCTGTTGAAGGACACCCGGGTTACTGTCGCGCAGCACGGCACCCCTGGTCCACCAGCTGCTGCCCACTGACCACCCACCCCCCTCCGAGGCTCTTCCCCCCAAAATCACTCTGGCCTCGCATCAAATCAGTAATGCCGCTAGTGCCTGTCGCGTCCAGCTACAAAAACCCAGTTCACCCCCCCAATCTTGTCCATCCCACAACATCTCTCTCACTTCATCAACCAGCCTCACAACCCGTCGTCAGACATCGCATATCTCAACCACTTTCACCACCACCCAAACTTCCACTCCTCCAAACCAACCGTCAAAATGCCCCCCAAGGCCGCCGACAAGAAGCCCGCCTCCAAGGCCCCTTCCACTGCCTCCAAGGCCCCTGAGAAGAAGGATGCCGGCAAGAAGACCGCTGCTTCTGGCGACAAGAAGAAGCGCACCAAGTCTCGCAAGGAGACCTACTCTTCTTACATCTACAAAGGTAGGCCTTTTCAGCTTTCCATGTTGCGTTCCCTCGCGACGCGTGCACAACACGCGCATAAGTTGCACTCCAATTTGCTAACTCGAAACAGTCCTCAAGCAGGTCCACCCCGACACCGGTATTTCCAACCGCGCCATGTCTATCCTGAACTCGTTCGTCAACGGTATGAAATTACACTTCGCATCGCAGGCGCGTCATTCTAACATACACGCAGACATCTTCGAGCGCGTCGCCTCTGAGGCCTCCAAGCTGGCCGCCTACAACAAGAAGTCTACTATCTCGTCCCGCGAGATCCAGACCTCGTGAGTTATTCGCCGATCTTGACACGGATCCGTTTGTCTGACCACTACAGTGTCCGTCTTATTCTGCCCGGTGAGCTGGCCAAGCACGCCGTCTCGGAAGGCACCAAGGCCGTTACCAAGTACTCTTCTTCCACGAAATAAGGGATGCTTGCGCTGCTTTTCTTTTCGGGCATTGGATTTTACTTGGCATTTGGGTGTCATGATGAGACCTGCCAAGGTTCCCAATATCCTTGGAGTCTCTTAATGCGTTACGGATGGTTTGCTTTTATTGGGGGCAATGTCTTCACGGTCAAACGGGGTTTGCGGGCTGTACAATACACCTTGAGAAATAGGGTTTTTCGGACGAATGAATTCGTGCACATGAACACAACACCTGGACCTTGGCTTTTGAACGTTTTGAAATTACTCTTGCAAGCCGCTGACCTGGCGCTGGCTGGTCTGGTGCACCTAGCTTGGTCCGTGTACCATTCGATACCGCTATACGGGGCACACCATCTCCCGAACGCCGGCGAAGCATGTTATCCCAAACCCGCCTTGCTGCGCTTGACGATATGGGCCACTGGCTGTAAGATGCCTTTGTTATTGAGCGCACCGAGGGCGGTGCCGCTGCTCCAGCCCATTTTTTCCAGCATCGCCCGCCCCTTGTTCTCCTGGCCCAGTTCCGGCGCCGATCCGCCCACGACTTCTCCATCCCGATAGATAACGCCTGCATGCCCGCCGCCTCCCCCACGACGCGCTGATTGTTTTTGTACAGCGGCTCGGAGGGTAGTATCATTGCGGGGGAAATACTTGCGACCGACACGAGCGATAGCGGCATCAAACACTTCCTCTGCAAACTTGGCAGTCCTAAAGGTGCGATGAAGCATGGGGCGACGTTGGTCGCCTGACCCGGTTGACTTGGATTTGATGTTAAACTTGCTCGCCAGCTCATGAATAACTTTCCGGGCATGATTGTCCATAGGGGGTAACGTGAGGCTGCGCGCTGCTGTCAGTTTTGGGGTCTGTTGAAGACAAGTCGGATAGGTAGCAACTGCCGACTTACATGGTGTTGGTGCCTAGGAGAAATGTCCGAAGTTCATCGGCAATCTGGTCTAGACCCATGCCGTGGGGATACTTCACCCTCAAGTCTTCAGGGTTGACGTTCTTTCCAAGTAGGCCTTGGGCGCGCAAGGCCTGTCGCTCTCGCTTTCTCTCGGCCTTCTTTGCGCGGTCATTCTTCCAAGCCGCCAGCATCTTCTCCTCAAGCTCCGAATCAGATATGTCGAATACTGGAATCCTATTTTTAGCGCCCTTGCCCTTCTTACGCTTTAAAGCAGGTCGATCCCAATCCATGAAGTCGAAGTCATCGATCTCACCAGCAAATCGGTCTGCCGCTGAACGAAATAGGTCATCCTCATCGTCTTCCTGATCGCTGATTTCGCTGGGTAGAATTGCCTCTTCACCGTGAGACGCATCGAATGAACCCAGGCTAGGCAAGTCTGTGTGGAGAGGCTCTCGAACTGCATTGTTGCCGCATACGACTTTGCCTTTCCCGGCCTGGTGATCTTTGGGTGCGTGGTCGGCAATTCTGTCGTCGTTCAAACCATCAGCATCGGTTGCTATCTGCGCCTCGCTGCTATCATCCGACAAAGAGTTTGCCTGCTGGGCTGCGAGGGTATCGAGAGACCCGTCGATACTTTCAAATTCGCTGAGGGAGCCGCCCAAGTCTCGTCGAGAATATGCGTCTGCCGGTAGTAGGCCTTCGCCATCGCCATGCTCCCGCATGTTAGCAATGTAGTCTGCAATCAATTCCTCATCGGCAAGACGTTTTGCTGCTCTTGCGCCTCGGGGTTGTTTGCGCTCGAGGCTGAAACTGTCATCTGCCGAGCCCTCCGTATCACTATTGCTCGGTAGGACGGTCTGCTCCATGGCCTTGATCTCCGTACATATTCCATGTAGGTTGAATGGCTTCTCTGTCCCGCCTGAAGCTTCAGGAGCAGCCTTATTACGGCCTTTGAACAAAATGACCTCCTCACTCGAGTCGGACGCGGCAGGCGAGGCGCATCGAAATTCAGCACCAACGGCGACGTTGTGCTGCAAGTCTCTGTCACCTGTGACATCAAGAAAATACGGCAGCGACTCGGACGCCTGCTCAGGCGGCTTGGGGGCGAGATCGATCTTGAGATCTGGAAGAGCAGTGGCATCCGGGTCCATTTCGTCTGTAGATGTCGCCATGGAGGTTTCGTTGTCGATTCCTGGCGATGTTCCCTTAGTCTCGTGGAGCTGTGTCGCGTTGTCTCGAGACTGCAGGATCAACTTGTCGTGCGCTTTGTTTTCGAGTTGTGCAGCCTCGGCTTTGTGCAAGATCTCTTGTTCCAGTTGCTTAAGGGGCTCGATAGATCCGTTGCTGACAAATTTGACAGGTTGATGTCGTAGTCTCGTATCGGCACTCCAGGGCGAGGAACGGTGCGCGGTGCTACGGGCCTCATCCTGCAACGTAAACCCTGGAACAAAGGCGTCAATCTTGGTTTACGGCACATAAATCCGTCAGCTGGGAACAGTTCCAACTAACCGGTCGAAGCAGCGTTGACTGAGGCAGGATACCGATCCGTAGCTAGACTAGGTCGCAATTGAAAAGACCTGCCTGACAGTGCTCTCGCACCGCCTCTCTTGCCACGACGTGGCATCACCTACGCGTGAACCACTGCTGGTAGGGAAAGTTGTGGCTTTGTTTGTGATTGAGAGAATTTCCGTGGAAGAAGCCCCGTGAGAGGGCCTCGGGAAACGAAAGTCGACCTTTTCCGAAGCTAGGAAATCCAAACTTTCGGCCGTCGATGGGAGTCGTAGGTGGGGGGTTCTGACGCAAAGAAAAAAATAGAGCCTGGATGAAGGTGACCACGCACGGGTTGTTGAGCCGCTTATCGATAACACGGGTGCAGGTGGGTTGAAGTGGGGCACGTTGAGACGATCAAAAGAGGACCATCTCGGTGCTCCGTAGTCGTCCATTAGTCGTGTGTCGCCCAATCGCCACCACAGCATGTTAACGAAATACAGGTGGCGATTAGGTAGAAGACCCGCTGACATGCCAATCATGGCCCCATGTGGCTATCAAAGGTAAGGTTGGTACAGTGACTAGCGTACCTCACATCACTAAGCCCCGCCATGCATACAGCATACCAGGTAGGCCGATGCGTCACAGGGCCACTTTATTGTGGCTGTTACCCATCGGCTGGGCAGCTTAGGGAGGACCTTCTCAACCTACACATCCCATCTTTCCTACGTCGCCTGGCAAAGGCAAAGTATGTGGAATCCGCTGTACCTATACGTTCTTTGATCTTAGTAGCGAATCTACGAACTGAGCACTGTCTTACCCCGCAGATCCCTCCCCGTCGAGCCTCAGTGTACGTATTTCTGTGCCTTACCCCAATCTGCCTTCTCCGATATACTCTGTACACAGCAGGTGATCACCTTGCTCCTACCTAGCACTGTCCAGCCGTGTTCGCGCGATCACGGAACCATCAACCACCGGCGAGGCTCAGCCCAACTCATCACGTCGCTCTAGAACTCCTGGCGACAGCGCAATACAAGCAGTGTCCACTGTCAACAGTCACCTCGCGCTCGCCTGTGTCTTCGATCTCAGCTTCTGTTTCGGCTGCTGACCCCCAGACGCAAACACCAGCATCCTCTCGGCATTTGGACCGAGCCTATACTCTCGATGGCATCCGCGATGGCTGCTGTGGATCTCGGCCGGTACCGTCGAATCGTGCAGATATTCTGGGATCCTGAGCCTACAAATGACTACCGGGTCGACCTTCCCGTCTGGTGCTTGGGTCGGTCATACAATCTAAGCACCAAGGCTGGTAAAGATAAGGGCAGCCGTGGCCAGACGCAGCCTACAACAGACACTGCCAGTTCCCAGACCAACGTTAATAGCCCATCACCAGTGCCCCCAGCTCTGGGTCCCGAGACTCCTCCCGATTCAGTGTCCAGCAGTTTCTCCTCCTCTTTGGCGTACGACGATGATTACTCTGTTCAAGATGGAGGTTGGCCCGCTGCATTCTTGGATGATTTCGAGTCCAAGTTCTGGATGACGTATCGGTCCGAATTCGAGCTTATAGCCAAGTCTACTGATCCTCGCGCTTCATCAGCGTTGTCCTTGTCGATGCGGATCAAGAGTCAGTTGGTTGATCAAAGTGGGTTTTCATCCGACAGCGGATGGGGTTGCATGATTCGGTCGGGTCAGATGCTTCTGGCGAACGCGATGGCTATCACCAATCTCGGTCGTGGTATGTCCTGTCTGCTCTGCGTTTCAGCCCTAAAACCCCTGGCTTCCATAATGGGTGTCGCCGATGCGTGATCAAGTCGACTAAAAATGGTTGGTCCAGATTGGCGACGAGGTGAATCACGAAGTATGGAACGTCAACTGCTTTCCATGTTTGCCGATGATCCAAGGGCGTCTTTTTCGATTCATCAATTTGTCCAACACGGCGCAGTTGCTTGCGGAAAATATCCTGGGGAATGGTTCGGCCCGTCTGCGACTGCCCGCTGCATCCAGTAAGTTGTATCTGACTGTGGTCCATCTGGTCATGTTTGAAGTCACAGATGATCTAACCACCGACTGCAGGTCTCTGACCAACGCCCAAGAGCAACCGTCTTTGAGGGTATATTCTACTGGCGATGGACCGGACGTTTACGAGGACAAATTTATGAAGATTGCGAAGCCTGATGGCACTCGATTCCATCCGACACTCATTCTGGTGGGCACGAGGCTGGGCATCGACAAGATCACACCTGTCTACTGGGATGCTCTGATCGCTGCTCTACAGATGCCACAGTCCGTAGGTATCGCCGGGTGAGTGGTCCCGGATACAGGAGCTTGGTGTGGTACTAATTCTCCCGCAGAGGCCGGCCATCTGCCTCACACTATTTCATAGGGGCACAAGGTTCCTTCCTGTTCTATCTAGATCCCCACCACACGCGTCCAGCTCTTCCTTATCATTCGGATCCATCAAGATATACTGACGCGGACATTGACACCGCCCATACCCGGAGGCTGCGGCGATTGCATGTCAGGGAAATGGATCCTAGCATGCTGATTGGGTTTCTAATCAAAGATGACGATGATTGGTCCGAGTGGCGACGCAATGTTAAGCATGTGCAAGGCAAGGCCGTGATACATGTCGCAGACAACGATCCTGTTGCTGGAGTAGGCGGTAAAGAGAGAGAGAGTGCGATTGACGAGGTTGAAACCCTTAGCGATGACGATGGAGACACTATCCTCGATGTTTGAGGCGAGCAAGGCGCACAGGCGGTCAGCGAACCCCTTCGGTATCGGGATGACATTTCTTCATTCGTGATCTGGGCATCAGTCTATCCACGACCAGCACATTGAGGCGCAACAGGGCCGGCCGGGGAACATTAAAGGCTTCTTTTAGCAGCATCGGTTTGGATGCATGGATTTGGACATTTTAATTTAGCGAGATGCTACGGGTACAAGTCGTAGTACGCGGAGATGGCGCGGTACTACTTCCTATTTAGGTAATCTATCGCTTCTTCCTTCTACCCGTAGTCTTCGATGTCGGTGTCGCGTGGTCCAATTCTCGAATGTGGGTAAAAAGTTTCGTTTTGGAGGAGAATGTTGATTGACAAACACCACAAGTGTGCTTTGAGTCCATTAGCGACGATGCAGAGCGGGAAAGGACAAGTCGGAACTTACTACGCCGGCCTGAGACTCCTCCGCTGCCTCACGAGCTGCCTTCTTCTCGCGTTTAGCCTTGGCCTTTCCAATTTTCTTGGGCTGTTGACGATCGTCGCCATCGTCACCAATAGAGAGGGGCCCGATGAGATTGGCAACTTGGTCACTGTCAGGCTTGCACGTGCTCTCTTGTCTACTTTGCCGCAGTGTCGTGTCGTTGGAGAAAAGCCGCTGCTCTACTTCGGCGCGGGAAGCATATTCATCATCGTCTGGGGAGTCCGAAGCAGCGTCAGAATCGACGGCTTCTTTCGCTGTCGATAAGGTGACGTCCGGCACACTCTCCTCCCCATCAACCTCGTGCACATTGTCACTCTCCAGATTTTGAAGATCCTCGAGCTCTGCCTTGTTTTCCGCCTCACTTTTCTTAATTTGCACCGTGGAGCTTTCTCGGAGGTTGAGATCCATATCTTCGTCTCTCATTTGACGTCGAAGTTGCTGAACTGCCCTCAGGTGCTTTTTGCTCCGCTCATGTGCTTCAAACGACTTTTCGCTCTTGAAAGTCTTGTTGCACACGACACACTCGAGAACTTCGACCTCTGATTCCCCCTCCTCGCTTTCGGGGAAATGACCACCGGCGTCCGCATCATCCCGAGCCTGGGCCCAGTCGGGAACAACGGCGTCAGAAAGCTTTTCAAGATTGGCGGCACGCGAGCGAGCTGCCTGAGCAGCTGCGGCATTTCGCAGAGACTCTTGGCGTTCCGCAGCAGTCTGGGTGTTGGGAAGGTATCGGGGGTCGCGCTTCCGTACAAATGTGACGAGAAATCTTACGGCATCGTTGAAGTCGCGAATGGCTTCGTCGCGTAACTTCTTGTTTTCCTTTTCCATGAGACGGCGTACACGACGATCAGGCGCATCTGACACTCTGTACTTGTCCTTCCAGGCAAATGTCTTTCGTGTCGAGAAACTTGCCCAAGCACCGTAAAAGGGCTTGGCGACATCCTCATATCCATCGTCGGAAATGCCAAATGTAGGATAATCAGGCATATTTCCGGGCGCATACTCTCCAGCAGCGACTTCTTCGTCCAGTAGGTGATCAAACGTTGCCTTTGTGATGCCGAAGAAACCGGACGGTTCGTCCGTGAAGGGGACAGTGGCATTGAAGCGACGGATCAAGGAGAAGATATCATCCGTGGAGGTAAGCTTAACGTTATTGAACTCGGACCCGAGCCCATCTGCATCTTCTGGGTCGGCACCACGCAGAATGGCTTCGCGATGCGAATCATACCATGCTCGCTCTTGAGGGTCGGAAAGAACCTCGTAGGCGGCTTGGACCTCAGCGAAGCGTCGGGTGGCATTGTCGACGTCGCCATAATTTCGATCTGGGTGGAGCTCTAAAGCACGCTTCCTGTAGGCCTTCTTGATCCTACAGAAAATCAGTATAAGGAAGGCTTGGAATTGGAATAGGATGGCGCACTCGTCATCGGTGGCATCGCGCTCGACGGCGAGTAGCTCGTAGTAGCATGTTTTTATGGGCTGAGACGCCGTCCCGGCCGTTTGGTCGCGACCGGAGGATTGTTGAGCGCCCATGTCTTGTTACGACTATGTGATTGTCGCCTTCAGTTGGGAGCGGCAGTCTTGATTTTATAACGCCTGATATATCGGGAGAGTACAAGACGATCCAGCGAAGATGGTCGATGAAAGGCAGCCTCCAAATTCGACGTGATGAGCCGGACCAAAACAAGACTTAGAAATCATCGAACTATACAGACCTACGCCGTCTCGGTACCATGAATCTCAACGTTGGGCGCAGGCTTGGTTGTGAGTTGAGGTGAGAAGGACTTCGTTTTCTTCAACCCGAGATGTCGCGGCCAATCGAGCCCGATGAGTCATCCAGCGTCCAGTTCACGGGATTTCAACTGCGAACTCAATGCAGTGGACAAATCAGTTTTCAGGCAGCCAGGGGGGTCTTATATGAGTATTCGTCTCTTCACACACCTATAGCTATGAGTTTTCAAACATACATTGCAGTTCCTCCATATTATCTAGCTGTCGAATCAGATACACATACAACATAACCATGCGACAGAGACATGTCTTAGTAAAGAGCTTGTGAGCGGGCTTCACCGCACCGTGCACTTTAATGCTCCACTTGTCGCGCTGTGACCACTGGCCACTGCGCAGTTTTTTTCTTTTTTTTTTCTTTTTTTTTTAATCCCGCCATCTCCTGGCGAAAAGAAGAAGAAGGCAATTCTGCAGTTTCTTTTTACTCAATCATACCTAGTTGCAGCTTAACATAGTTCTGATCTCGAACCTCGAAAAGACGGCATGGCGTCAACAAGTTGCAAGATTATGCCGCTTCCACCGGGCTACTCTACCCGTCCGGTGCTGCTCCCCCTTCTTAGCTACACTCAATACGGCTCCAGCGCTGTTTTCACCTTTCTGCAACTTTTACCTAGTATCTACGAAGCTAAGCAAGGATATGTTTGAAACGTGGCTTTTCCCGATCCAGGGTTACCAACTGGAGTACAAGCCCAGCCTTGTCTTTAATGGTCTAGACTCTGGAGTTGGTGAGTTCGAGGCGCGGTTGGCGATAACGGATCCACGGATTACTGAATGCCACAAACTCGGACCATTGCAGGCGCTAAACCAGCATGTAGGTCTACATGTGGTACCCCGGGGAGGTGACGTGGGCTGTCGTCTCTTTACCTACCGAAAGTGCCTGGGTAGGTAGCGGAACTCCCCAGCGTAGGTGCATCTACCCAAGCGGCCTGTACCCGCCGTACCTGTACTTGCACCTGTCACTGACGCCACCCATGTCCCTGCCCGTGACAGCTGCGAAAGCTCAGCAAGTCGGGGGGAAGAACAAAGAAAGAAAAATTCGTTACGTGCCTATTTGCTCATTATATAGCGCAATCGTCGCCTTAACACCACCCGTGGTCTATCTTCTCGATGCCTTCCTACCAACAACCCAAGGCCAGCAACGCTTACACGGGAAAGCCATGTCTTCATTCGGCGCCAAGACTGTCGTTTTCGTATACTTGCACTAGTGATTTGATGAGCCATGAAGTTTGCCCATGATTTCAAAGAGACGCTCAGGCGGGAAGGTACGTGCCCCTTCGCGTACATACATGTCCCGAAGAATGAGACTGGCTGACAGTACCTCATAGGTTTCCCACCTCACTGGGTTGATCTCGCCGTCCCATATAGCCAACTGAAAAAGGTTCTCAAGCGCGTTTCTGGCGAGTTGAACGATCTTGGACTCGACCCAGAGACCTTGCGTCAACTCCTCGACCCTGCTGTTGATTCGCCGCTGGCCGCTAAATACCGTCTCAATGGTAGGCTCTCACCCTCTTTCAACATTTGCAACCGCCGCTGGAACAGACGTCCGCACCAACATGTGTTGACGATTTCTCAGCTGCTGGAAATTCCAAATTGCTACGACCCAAGCTGACTGTCGAGGTCCACATGTGCAATGGCAATGCAGTAGATGCCTCATTGACCCCTTCGTCTCGCGCTCTTCTTCAACGCATTGCCGCACTCCAGTCTCCTATTTCGGAGGGCGACTTTGACATGGATCAGCTGCAATCCTCAGGATCTCAGTCGCCGGAAGAGGCTTCATCAGAGTCGCTCATCTCTGAGTCTGACGTGACCATTGCTGCCGTGGAGGCCAGGCTGTCTACGATCAAGGATCAACCGGCACCTTTCGAGAAGTATGAGCGCATCGAGGTACCCCTTGTCTTTGACAGTGAATTTTTCGACATACTCCAGAGCGATGTCAGCAACCTCGACGCACTCCAGGCCAGAGAAGAGAAGGCTATGGTGACAGAGATTATTGCCCTTCGTCAGGATGTGTCGCATCTCACCAAGCCAAGCCGACTCTCCAAAAGCGATCTCGCGAGGTGGCGGGCTATCTTTGAGTTGTACCTCGACGCCCAAGTCTTTTTCTCAACCAATGAACAGGATCATGGCTCTCGCGACAGTCAGACTGCCGCAAAACAATTACAGTGGTTTCAGGCGGAGATCACTAAACAAAATTTGGCCAAAGCCTTCAAAATCCCCGAGAGCAGGGAGGCTCTAGTGCGCTTCATGAGTCTGAATGCTGTCTTGCTTAAGAATCTGCAGTTTCAGGAGATCAATCAGATCGCTATCTATAAGATTCTGAAAAGTACGTGGCTTTCTGGATATTTCACTTCGCTGCTATGCAGTCAACACTAGCTTCCGTGCCAAAGGAAGACTAACAGACGCAGAGTTTGATAAGCGGACTTGTCTTGGAGTTTCCAAGTCTTTTCCGACCCAAGTTCACTCCGACAAGTTGCTGGCTGGATCCGTTGCCAAGGATATATGCGCCCAGATGTCGACCGACCTGGTGTCTGTCGTTCCGCAGATCAGCGACTACTTGTGCCCGATTTGCTTCTCTATCGCCTACCGGCCGGTTCGGCTGGCCTGTCAGCACGTTTTTTGCATCAGGTGCATCGTCAAGATCCAGCGTCGCAACGAGAAAAACTGCCCACTGTGCAGAGCTGACACAGTCATGAAAGCATCCGCAGGTGAGAATGATAGTCCCTCACAAAAACTGACTTCCAGTAAAGGTTGCAAGCATTGAGTATGTTGCGTACTAATGGAACAATGTGGTAGACAATCTGGACATGCAGCTGGAAAAATACATGCGCAAGTATTTTCCGAAGGAGGCCAAGGAGAAACAACGCGCCAATGAAATCGAGCGAGGCATCGAGGACTACGGGCCCGAATACGTTCATTCTGAGTGCTCCATCATGTAACCATGGGCTGAATTTGGGAGGATGACCTGTTACACTATTCACTGATTTATAGGTTTCGCTAAGAGATACCCTTGACAATTCTGATATAAGTTCTCAGTAGCGAAACTGGGCGACTAAGTCGAACTTTGGACTCCTTATCCCAATTCTTCTTATTTTCATCCAGGTTGGCCAGTGTATGACTCGGTGACTCTAGCATGTCGCTGGTGTTGTTGTTATTGTTTAAAAGCCGGTAGCCTTGCGGTATGGTTGTCAAATTTAGACAACCTTCTGTTCTTCTGCTGCCTGGAGGGCAAGCGCGAAAATGTGCTTCAACTCGTCTGTTTCCTCCAGGCCGACGCTCACGCGGATCAGATCTGGGTCAACGCCCAGACCGGCCGCCCAGTCCAGCTCCTGGTAGTGCGCCAGAAGCACGTAGGGCGACGTCAGGGTGAAATTGGTACCTAGGCTTGGTCCCTTTGCTGTCTCGAGCGAGTCGAAGAAGGCCATGGCATTCTCTTTCTGCTTGAACGTTACGGACAGAAGCCCCCCGTAACCCCCCTCGGGTAGCTTGCACACGTCGTAATTGGGTCTTGTCGGGTTCACCTTGGGGTAATAGACACGTTTGACTAGTGGGTGGGCTGAGAGGATGTCGCAGATGGCTTCTGAGTTCGTGTTTATGCGCTCGACGCGAGACGCGAAGTCTCTGCTGTTCCGCTCCATAAAGACAACGTCTTCGGGCCAATACGTATCTTCTAAGTCTTCAGCCCAGGCAGTCTTCAGAGCCTGGTAGTATCTGCCACCAGGATTCAAGATGGCACTACCACCCATGACATTGCAATCACCTGAAAAAATCTTGGTCAGACTGCTCACGACGATGTCGGCGTACTGTAAAACATCCACGTTGACAAAGCTGCCGATGGTCTCGTCCACGACAACACCGAAATCGTATTTGTCCGCAAGACTTCGAATCCGGGACAGATTAGGGCAGGTCAGAAGAGGGTTCCCGGGAAACTCGCAGAAGAGCGCCAGAAATCGTTCCCCATCTCCTAGGCGCTTCTCGAGATCATCTAGATCTTCCTCCGAGGCATGACCGTAGAATACGCAGCCAGGGCCGAATTTTTGCAGGATTTTCAGGGTGTCCACGTAAGGAAATCCGAAGTTGATGGACTTCATGTTACCCCTGGCACGCGTCATAGCCCTGTGAGCGTTGAAGATGGCATTCATGCCACAGGGAAACAAGTGCACGTCGCCCTCCTGGAGGTCTTCCTGGCCTCTAGTGTTCTTCCCCATGGGAGGCAACGAAGTGATGCTGGCTTCCATATCAGCGGCCACGGCGCCAGCAATTCTGCGCTTGATGGCAGACTTTGCACGCTCGACGAGGGAGAGGTCAAGGTTGCGTCCGAAACGCTCTTCCAAAAAACGTAGACTCTCCTGTGCCTCGGGCGCACCTGAAGAAGTTGGTTTCAGGGCAGGATGTTTCGTATCGTCTATGGACGACGGGCGATGATATCTTCTGGGGCCACGGCAAGCCTTGCCAACCGGAGACGAAGGTCTCTCGATGGCGGTTAGAAGACCTTCCCTGAGCAGGTCGTGGCAAAACTCGGCTCGGCGACTTGATACGCCATCTCCGGTGTGTTGCCAGTACTGCTTGGTGACAGGGAATGCATCCTGAGAGTAAAAGACGGCAGAAACAGTCGGCGACAAGGAGCGCAACAGGGGCGAAACGTCTCTGGACTCATTCAGTCCAAAGTCAATGACAGTGGCGTCGGAAGAGGCGGATGGATCTGAATTCTTCTTGACAAAGTCTAGGCACCGTCTAGCAATGCGGGGAGTAGGGAACAGCATAGCCTGCTGACCAGTTCGGCCATACTGTGACACCAGCTCCTCTGCCAGTGCCACTATGCTCTTGTGAATGAAAAATCTACACGGGTGGTGAGCCGGGGCTTCGAAGTATTCTTGCAACAAAACCCACCTTGGATATCCAGTTGTCATTTTGTTCACGACCCATGGCTGGCCCTCTTCATAACCTACATTCGCCTCCCAGGTTGGTAGGTGAACGCTGACTGCCTAGTGAACCGTCAGTCATTCTTACCCATCTGCAAGGTGTCGGAAACAAGCTGTCCTTACATGGGCAGTGTCAGGAGGTATAGACTGGCCTAGTTCGAAGGACGGCATTTTGGCTGGCAGGTTGCCCCCTACTGTCTGCTATTCTGCAGTGCCCGGGAAGTTAGAACCCAACGCATGTAACAATGAATCAACGGGCAATGAATATCTGACCGAGACGACGACTCACTGGGCTTGCTGAGACAGAGGTTCGCGCTGGATGCCAGCAAAAAGTTGACCGCGCCAAGCTGATAAAATGAGTCAATGCAGGGTCAAGATTAGGCCGATGAAGAAAGAGGGCCCCACCGGCGCTAGGACAGAGAGGAGACTGACAAAAACCAGGTATCCAAACGCTGTATTTGTCGTCGGTGTGTCCCCACCCGTGCTTGTGTTCGTTGAGATAGGTGGTAGGTAGTACGGAGTCAAAGGCTGGAGAAAAGTAGTAATTTGCTGTGCGTATGCGAATTCGGACTTTGCCAGCGCTTGACTCGAGGCGTATAAATCCGCAGGGATTGGAGGGGGGGAAGCTGGGTAACGCTGTTGGCATCCAGGGTCAGCAACCTGCGGGGCGCCGAGTATCGGAGCTTGACACGCTTGAATACCCCTCATTGTAGTTGCAAAGTGCCTGTAGAGAAGGAATGCAGCGGCTCTTCACCAAGGCGCACGTCATGCCCGAGACTACATCACAACCGCGGCCCTCTCTCTGTGCACAACTTTGATACCAAAGCGAGTTAGTTATTGACTGGAACAATATAAAGCAACCATGGCCCATTTTTCAAATCCAGCCGGGCCGTCGCCCACGGACAATCTAGACCATTCCATACCGGCACAATTGAGACCTCACCCTCTCCTCAACAGACACATGTTTGACCATCCTTCATTGCGCACAAGAGGGAATAAAATAGTAAATGAGTGGTCGCACAAAAGAACAGCAAATGCTACTACATGCAACGATACCTGGCCGTATGTAAGCGGCCCTCGTGCCCACACCGCCCAACTTAGCATATATATGTAGATACGCACTCTGACTCATCCTCCAGTCCTCGTGCTGTTGGCCGAGTCATCTGTTAATTGTTTATAGGTCTCGACTTGAAGTTCTTAACCAGGCCTTCGCTAGAACCACGCACATGTATGGACTAGCGCGTAAACGCGAAATAATTGTTTCCACGTAACATCGCGTTTGCAGGCCTTGCAATTCGTCTCGCCTTCTTTAGTGATACTGGCGTCTGCTCGTTCTGCTACCAATGCAGCTGATGCTGTCACTCGGAGCGACACTGACGACATCGTCCTCCCACCTGCTGCCAGCACGGCTCTCCGGCGCAGGAGCACGCGCTGCTGGCATGAATGTAGGTGCTCGTGTGGCTGGCGGATATCCAAACACCTGTTGCTGGTTGGCGGCTCGAACAATGGTTGGAGGAGCCCGAACCGGAACTTTGGTAGGCGTTCTGCTCGGCGCTTTACTTGGCACATATGTCGGCGCATGACTGGGTGCTTTGGTCGGAGCTCTGCTGGGGGCGATGGTAGGGGCCCGACTGGGAGCAGCCGTGGGTGCCCGGCTGCGGACATCAGTCGGAGCTCTACTCGGAGCATGAGTGGGGGCTCTGCTTGGAACAATGCTTGGAGCCTGCGTCGGCGCGCGGCTGGGAGCCGTACTCCTGCCCCCTAGAATGGTCTCAACGGTGGGTGGCGGCGGGCGGACGGTTGACTGGGATTTGGCACTTCTGGCCGAGACATACGTTGCAGCGTCGTCGACCACGGTACGAGGCACGGCCGACTTGCCAGCTATGCTAAGTCCAGCGTTGCTTTGGTGCTCGTAGTCGGTGATCATGAGCGGAGCCGCCCTGGGAACAGCGGTCTGACTACGAGAGTGAACGGTGCTGGCCCTCTCGAGTTGATAACGGGACGTATGACTTCGGCCATCGTCATCGACGTCTTCGCGAGCCCGGCTGCCGGCTTGTCTATATTTGGCCGCGTACTGATGCGGGACACGGTTGTCGGGGAGGGTCTGGTACGCTTCGGGATAGCGGATCTTCTCGACAGTTCTCTCGACCTCGACGTAACGCGGTGCGGGCTGCTGATCCGAGTACTGCTCGGGGAAGGTAGCACGGCGCTGGAAGGCCGGAGCGGGACCAGCACCGTCAAATTCCTGGCTCGGAGCCTGCGCACGTTCCTTCTTTAACATGGTGTATGTCATGGCGGCGCCGGCGGCAGCTCCGACAGCCGCGCCCAGGAGACCTCCGAGGACGGTACTGGTCTGCAAACTGCTGCTCGGGGCGGCGGACTTGGCGGGCGAGGAAGCCAAATCATTGTTGGCTGACGGGGAGGTTTCGATAATGGAAGTGGTGACACTGCGGCGGAGTAGTGTGTACGGCTCGTTGCCAGGGTATTGGCCGGCTTGGGAGGTCATGGCTCTAGAGGCGGAGGGTCTGGCAGGCGCAGCGGCGGCAGAGCGTGATGGCGAAGATTTTGCAACGTCGTAGTTCCAGTTGAGGATGCGACTGACTTCGTCGTGTGTTGATTGGGTTTTTCGAACGGTAGAGCCAGCATAGGAGGGTGGGTAGTTGGGAGGGGGTTGATATACAACTTCCATGGTGTTACCGTCCAAGTCGGTGACAACGGCGCGGTGGGTATCGCCACTTTGGGTTATGGCAGCGGGGCGGGAGATGGGCAGGAGAGCAGGGTTAGCACGCAGGGTATAGGAGTGGAAGTCGGTGACAACGGTGGGGGATGGAGCAGAGAAGACGACGCGGGACTTCTTCAGGGGCTCGAAAGAATCGCGGGCCTCGCGGATCTTGAAGACGGGGGTCGGCGGGGATGATGTTTGATCACGAAAACCGTAGGTGACTGCGGCGGGAAGCCTGACAAGCTCACACCTCGGACGGGTGGTGATGATCGTCTTGGAGTCGTTGTCGTCGTCGTCCGCGTTGGCAGCGGTCAAAGTGTCGGTGGATATATAGCGGAGGCCGAGGGGTTGGAGGACGGCCGAGTAGAAGGAGGCTGACGAGGGCAGGTGGGAGACATCGAAGTAGGGGGTCATCTGGGGCTGTCGGGGATGGGCACGGAAGCAGGCAACAATAATGAGATCTTATGGAGACGGAGACGGAGACGGAGACGGGGATAGGGGTATGGACGGGGATGAAAGGGTTGGTGGCTTGGCTTGGCCTGGCTACCTAGGTAGGGTGGAGTTTGGGTTGGAGGATGGCTGGCTGCTTGTTGCACTTTTGGTTATGATGGTGTACATGGACGCCAAACGTGAGATGGTGCCGAGAGGCAAGATGGGCTTTAACTATCTTGAGAGCGAGCATTCATTGCTTTGGGGCATCTCTTCCATTCCAGCATCTGAGGCGAAGAGAAGAATGCCTTCCGATTGGGATGCCTATCTGGAACTGTTTGGAAGGGAAACAAACAAATAGAAGACACCAGTCATTTGCTCTGCGTACGTGCCTTACCTGGCAAGAGTCTAGAAACGGGTCAGTCCGTGATGGCGGTTCCGTGTCGATGCGGCCACCAAGTGCCCATGCACAAATGCTACCCGCCAATGGAGCCTGCTGGCTGTTCGGGTCTGGCCAGTCCTCTCCGCTGCATCGCGGTCTGACTGAGTTAGTGGTCTCTACATCCAGTCCAACCCAACCGACTCCAAGACGGCCACCTTTCCCGGGGATGCTGCCGGAGACCACCAGGAGCCGTCGAGGGCACCATCTCCTCAGCCACGTAGTCGTATCTAGGCGCACTAAGGTAAGCTAGCCCAAGTGTGGTAGGTTCCAAGGTACAATATATAGCAAGGTACAATATATAGCAAGGTACAATATATAGCAAGGTACAATATATAGCAAGGTACAATATATAGCAAGGTACAATATATAGCAAGGTACAATATATAGCAAGGTACAATATATAGCAAGGTACAATATATAGCAAGGTACAGATATAGAAAGGACTAAGTAACCTTAATAGATATAACCTAAGGTATAAATATAGAAATACTATACTTAGTGCTACAAAATGTAAAGATTTTAAGAGAAATAAAAATAAAATAAATGTAATATAATAACTTTTTTTAATAATTATTTTACCTACTAAAGTTATAAAAACTTTATTTTATATAAAAAAAAAGTAGTAGTAAAATGAATAGCTAGTATTTAATATTTATTAAATAATGTTAGTGTTAACATATAACATTCTTTTATAATAATAATAATAATATAATAATAATAATAACGCTAAACTTACTTTAATATTCTATATAAAATAAACTAATAAAGTTTAAGGTATAAAACCTTATATAAAAATACTTGATTTATTATAACTTATAACTATAATATTGATTATGTAATACGTATAGCTACGTAAGCACCTTATGTAATTAGCAGTTTAGCAGGTTACGTTTCAGGTTATCTTTCCCCTCACTTTTCCCTACTAGAGGATGCAACCTGCGAACAACAACAACCAGACTCATCACAATACATCTGTTCCCTTATTCTTATCTATACAATTAAATGCTCATAAATGCTCAGAATTATTACCTTTTATCATAACATTACCACATCTATAACCTTATACTATATAGGCGCATATACTACGCCCCTGTATACGCTTATACCTGTGCTAACAGTTAGTAGTCTGGTTAACCTATATAAGTAGGTATTACAGTTCACTCTATACTTTTTTTTATAGTACTAAAACTTAATAGCAGCACTTTAACCTATACCTAATCTTAATAAAGCATAAATAAATCTCAGTATAACTAGTTATTAACGCTCAGCTTAACTTATCCCTAGTAGAAGAGAGTAAGTAAGCAGGTAGTAGAGCGGTAAAACGTACTAGTAAAAATATTATTCGCAACGTTATAAAAGCGTTTTCTACAACATAGAACGCTAATTATACTTATAATAGCTAGAGCTTAATAATAGCTTAAACCTATACTTAGGGGTATAAACTTAATAGTATAACTCTTTATATAGCTAAAAAGGTTCTTATAGCTATAGTATAGGAATTTAACTGTTTAAATAAAGCTTTAAGCTTATTCTTTATATCCTTCTATGTATATAATAACTATAATATCTTTCCCCCTTATTATAACTAAATATAAGCTAAATAAAGCTATACTAAATAATTTAGTCTATAAAACTAATGTTAACAAAATTAAAGGCTTTAAATATAGTAACTTTCTCTTTATTAAAAAGAAACCTCTCTTTAAATTTACTTAGAAGTACCTACTTAAAACAGCTAATAAGAGCAATATAATAGAGTTATATAGCCTTAAGATTAATATAAAAATAGATGAAGCTATTAATAATAATCTTAATACTTATAATTACTTTATAAGTTTCCTTAAGATAACTAAAGTAGCCTAAGCGCTTAAACGTCAGTAAATCAGAAAAAGTGAATATAGTAAGAGTATAGCTAACGGTAGTCAGGCTCTTCCTACGTTAAGACTATGTAGTAGAGCGGAAGACGTTATCTAAGCGTAGACGTCTAAACAGCAGAGGAGATAACGGAAAACAGGCGTAGATCGAATATAGCGTAAGAGATAGAGGAGACTAATGGAGATAGAGGCAGCTAGAGGAAGACAGTTAACTTAGCTTGTTATGATGTTTGAAGTTAGAGGAGTGTGGAGGCGAAGATAATGTCTAAGTCTGAACTACAGTTATATGACCCTAAGGTCGTTAGCAGAGGGTGAGGGGACTAGTCTAGCTTTCGCAGTTAATACCAGTTAAATTTCACAATATAAGGCCAGCAGCCTATATTTATTAAATAATATAATAGGAAACTAATAATTTAATAATTTTAATAATAATTTTAATTTAGAAAACGCTACATATGCTAACTTTCTAGTAACTACTAAAAATATATAAAAACTATAATTAGAGATATAAAAGTTCTCAACAAATACTATTAAACTTAATATTAAAAATATTATTATTATATTTATTTTTAATATTTATTTCTAGAAATAAACTAAACTATAACTAATGAGTTTATAACTTTAAACTTTAAACTATATATATAAGAAAATTTAATAGAAAGTAATAAATTAAATAGAGTAAAATCTTATTATAATTCTTTAGAGTAATAAATATACTACCTATAAAACTACTCTACTAAAAGCTTTATTAACTACTTAGATTATATAAAAAAAAGTAGGATAACTATAAGAGTTAAAGGAAGTACTATACTAAGACTAATATAAGAAATTTAAATAAATACAGGCCACTCACACCCCAGGGTAGGGGGAGGGTGTGTGGTAAGTTCCTTACATGGTAAGATACACATAGATAGATGTGCTGTAGGATCGCCCCACCAGACAGCGAAACAGCAACCGCAATGCCTCAAGCCATTGTCAGAATTATCCTTCAACGGTACGAGAGACTGGCGGAAAGCACCCGGAGGAAAGCGTCTTAAGCCCAACCCAATGGAAGCCGCCTATACCTTACGGAAATCGTGTCATGCCGTGTCTGGCCACCACTTGGTTACCAGGCCCCGCTGCCCCACTGCCATCCCACCCGCACCACATTTCGTTCGCGTTGGAAACGTGCACTTTTCCCATCCTGCTTCAACGCCCAATCATCGGCGTGACAGTCCCTCAGTTCCAGCTGCAATTCACCGCAACCTCCACCGCTCTGGATCACTGCGCAGAGTCTGAGTCCCAGCCCGCCTGCCGAATGGAACCTGATGCAAACCACCGGCTCCGAGTCCCTGTCGCCTCTCGCCTCAGATGACAGGTCTCTCACATCCCGCCTCACTCTTTTGCTCATTGGTTGGCCGTAATCCCTGCTCTTATTTCGCTGCCCAACCTAGCCTCCCGTCTTTCAAGTCTTATGGAAATGCTCGGGGATTTCTTACCGCCCATGGCATGCCACTAGGAATCCCTAGATAGCCGACTCCTATTAAGTAGGTATCCTCCTCCCGGGTATTCCGCCGTTCTTCCACTCTCAAATGTGCCCCTGACAGCATTGTGACATTCTACTACTATTCAACATGAGGCGACAGTAAACATCTATAGACCAATCGCGGCCACCTTATTTAAATAAGGCCACACGCGCGCTGATGTGCCATTTCTCCGGCGCACCACCGCACGAGATCACCAAGATGCTTTATTGAGGTAGTCGTAGACTTTGGTGAGATTCTGTGTTCAATCGGATAGACCTCTCAGTAGTACTAGAGCCTGCATGCCCATACGTACAGCAACTGAGGCGATCCTTATTTGGTACTTAATAATCCATTAACAAGCCCGAAAACCCTCTAGCTATCAATTCAGCGACGAGGAGTCACCCTCTGCCTGCCTCGGCGCTTGCCGTTGGCTTTTGAAATTTGCCCTCTCCCCCACCTTATGACTATGGCCAAGAAAACAAAAAGTATTACCACAGCTGAAGAGGTCCTGCAACCAACCGCGGATCAATGAACGTGACGGCAGGAGTTGCTGTGTCGACTTGACGTGACACAAATGGAAGAAGAGAGCATGTTGAACGTCGATGGATGCCCCGATTTTGGTTGTGAAACAGCGGAAGCGCAAGCACAGGCGAACCGAGATCCGGAGGCTACGGCTGCCAACCACAATATTGTATCGTGCTCTTCCTGCTGCGCCCGTGGCTTTCGAAGTACGAGTGGATGGCGCTGGGTCCTGCAGATCGGGGAACCAAAGAACGTACCAGCATAGGCCAACATCGCATTCAGCCTAGGTCTAGCAGCAGCTTGCGTTCCGCTATACACACTCACCAGCCGCAAATCATTGGCGTGGGGCACTCGCAATCACTGAATGTCCCAGCAGTCCTCGGCGGCGTGACAGAACTTGCTGCAGGCAACACTAGCTGACAAGCTGTAGTTGCTGATAGATATCTTCTCGTCCACGAGACCATCGGCAAAAGTATCAGCACCTTTCGCCATGGCACCCACAAAGACGCAAACACTCTCCTTCGGACCCAAGGTATCGATGTAGTCCCTGCACTTCACCAAGGGGGCCTCGAAGCTGAGGGTAACCTTGCGGCAGTTGGGAGGCAGGTGGTCGGTGATGGGATTCTGGATGACACGCAAGAGCTT